CAACAGACTTTATTTTTTTTAATCTTTCATGATATGTACATCTTGTTTAAACATGTTTCTATCTTATTTCTTACAAGTATTTCTTAGAACTATTATATTTTGATAGAATGTTATCGAAGAGAAAATCCATACTTGTGCTTCTACATGTTGAATACAAAGAAAAGCACTTCTCTTCATACTTAATAGGCCAACCAAACATTCACAAGAAGTTTTAGAATAACCTTACTTGTTGGAAGCTTTCACATGTTTTCTGGAGAGAATTATTTTAGACCAATGCAAGTAAAGATGATGCATTTCTTGAGGTAAGTCATCAATTTAGTAGGGTCTCTTGTAATGAATATAAACAGTAATACCATACATACATATATATATATATATATATATATATATACTAGTTAAATTAACCGCGCTTCGCGAGGTGGTAAACTACCTCTATTAACTTACATTTCTTTTGAGTTAAACCAAATAACATATGACCATTTGAATTGACGTCTCATAAAGTGCTTCAAAATCAGTTATGGTACTAATTTGTATTGTCAAAAGACATTTTCACTTGTTTTGGTTTCAAGCAACACATTCAAAACATGTAAAGCTTTGCGATTTTATATCTTGTATAAAAAAATGTTTATTTATGTTGGGCCTGACTAATTTAGAACCATGAAAATAGACATTTTTACCTCAATAAAATCTGCATTATATTTGTGACCTTTATTTGATAGAATATTAGAATATTATCACACTGTAATTTTCTTTTTGCGAGATAATAAAAAGACATAAACTTAAGCTTGACTTCAGATGTTAAAGTAATAAATACTCTGATTTCGAGTAACCACATCTAAATGCATTAATTTATCTCCTCCATGTTAATTAAACACTCCCATTTGTAAGCTGGTGCTCTTGTAATGTATATTTTTATTTATTAAGTAACAAACGAATCTTTTAAAATATAATAAAGCACATACTATCTTAATTCTTTTTAAATATAATCGAAAATACCATTTACTATAAATATTTCAATTAATACTTTGACAATGCAATTATTTTCTATTTTCACTTACTAAAATACTTTATTTGCCTCAAATTTTTTTGTTATCTGCCTATATTTTAGATATGAGTTAATTTGAAAATAATGACGTTAATGCACTATACAAATGCTTTTGTGTGGTTGTATACGTGAAAATAATTACGAAAACTCTACCGGATGAAACATCTCTAATTTACAAATGCTCGCCAATATGTTACATCCTTAGTGTAATTTGGTTTAACTTTTTTGAGAAAAGAGATATAATGAATAAGTACGACTTTATTTGAAGTTGCAAGTTAAACAGGAAAGAAAATATGAACACAAAACTAAACAATTATAAATTAGATTTTAAAAAAACCTACGACATGTAAATTCACCTATTATCCAGACCGTCTATCCTCACAAATTAATGATATTCGAGCATTGTCACTTTATTTATAACAAGGACTACAAAAGATCATAGAGAAATTCCAACTGCCCTTCATCGTGTCAACACTGGACAAAAGGAATAAAGATATTATTTACCTTTCTTACATTTGTAGATGATAATGAAACGTAAATAGCCAATACCTCACTCGAGGATAGTAAAATTGCAAAGCTTCATGCAATGTGGCTATGCCTTAAAATTTTAAAGGTTTAAGTGCACTGCTTATAACTCCTTGCATGTGTTATCTTGAATGCCAACCACTATTTCCTTGCCCTTCATTTCTTTTTGTTTGTTATCCTTTTTGCTTGTGTCAAATTAAGACCACAACGATCTTATGCTTTTCCAAGTCCTAAACTACAGACTGGAAAATCACTTGTCAAACAAAACAATCTCCATTCACAATTAAATGAGGTTTCAACTGTCAAAATTCAGACAGAACAAAACTTATACAAGATTAAGCAAACTAAGAGACTCAAAATATTCTTCTTTCACTACATATGCATGTTTACAGACTTTGTAATGATCATTGTTAAGTTTACCCGTGATGGTTATCTTTTCACTTTGTACACCATTTACAGCAAGGTATCTTATATGGCCGAAGGAAATGTAAAATGTTTGTGATATACCTCGTCTCATCTAACAATTATGACATACATTCTTGAGTACTTGTTCTAAAATTTGAGACTCCCTCGTGGTGAAGCTGATTATTATAAACATATTAGATTAGATTCAGAAGAAAAATTACAAAAAACATATTGCAAATGAGGAAATAAAACAATTTCTCGTCTCCTACACTTACGCAACAATGACCATAGAAGAAACATCTAAAAGATGGATAATTTGTAGCAACGTTAAAAAATTGAAAATAAAATTTTTATTAATTTATTCCAACCTATAGCGAATCATGTAATGAACTCTAGTTTGCTCTTAAATTTCAAAATATCATTGTAATGTTGTGGAATAGTTGTGAGTTGCTAGGGTACATTTTAAATTGAAAGTAGATGATAGGAAAATATAAACTACTTTGTAGATGAGTCGTAAATGTGAAAATTAATTAAAACTTACATATATTTACATCGCAATAACAGTTATTTGGAGAAGGATTAACTGCAACCCAAAATTCCGCTCACAAAAAAGTAATTTCTACTTACTAATAATAAAAACTACTCAAAGGATGAAGGGTGCCCAGCTACCGTAAATAACAGTTGTAAAGAAAAATACATAAGGTAGTAGGTTTTTAATTTGAGTTAAAAAAATGGTTTTGATTGTACATTCATTTTTAGTTTTTGAAAACATATAAGATTTGATCTATAAGTAAAGGAAAAAGTTTGTGTAAATTTACATAGAGAATGAAAATGGTGGAAATTTACATGAATATGGTGGAAATTTAACTGAATAATAAGTATAAAATTACCAATGCTTCTCATGGGAATTTAATAATACTTAAAATCTATCGGCCATTAAAACTAAAACACTATATTATCTTATATAAAATATTTATAATGTATAGGAAAATAAAAATTATTACATTGTATCATTTAACCTTAATAACATGAGTATAAATTAATGACGGTAAAATACGTACCAAGATCTCTAACATAACCAATGGTATCACAGAACCACTCATGAGAAAAGTACACAAATATATAATTGTGAAGAAGAAGAAGAAGAAGAACAAAAAAGGTTCTAAATTTTATTTGTTTTAAAATGAGAGGAAACACCTCTATTTATTGAAATTAAACTGTAGTGTGAAGAAATATTTATTGTGCCTTATCAAGAAAGTTAAGCCTATTTGGAAGGGTCACAACATTTCATAAATGTCACAATCTTCTATAAAAGTCACAACTTTTCATAAAAGTCGTAACTCTTCATAAAAATTGAAACTCTTTGTTAACGTCGCGACTTTTCATAAAAGTCACAAGTTTTCATAAGTTACAACTCTTCATGAAAGTTGCAACAATTCATGAAAGTCACAACTTTTCATAAAACTCACATCATTTCATAAAAGAGGTTGACTATTTTTCGATAAGTTTTCATAAAAGTCGTAACTCTTCATAAAAATCATATCTTATCAAGAAAGGGGAAGACTATTTTTGGAAATAAATAAATTTAAATGGAACATCTAGCTTGTAATGGCACCACATAGGCAGGCCTAGGATCCTCTTTTATATAAATATATGATATAGGAAAATCAAAATTATTTACAAGAGTTTCAAAAGAAACCATAAAATTCTTTATCAAAAGTATTGGATTTCAAAAATAAAAAAAAAAGAACTTTCAAAATCAAATTTAATTATATACATATCCATATCTATATACATATATACATACATACATACATACATACATACATATATATATACATACATACATACATATATATATATATATATATATATATATATATATATATATATATTATTAGAACAAAGTGTTTTATACTGTTCAAAACCATTAACATTTTATTATAACGAAGTGTTTTATACAGTTCAAAGGAAATACATACTGTTCCACAAATGGACATAGTTAGTTTAATAATTAATGCTTTCATTATCTATGAACTTCTTCTAATTAAATAAAATGATAAAGTAGTTAGCTCTAGTATGTATATTTTGATGCATCTAGTATGCTTTTCTCTACGCACTTCATTTTATATTTTGAACACTCCTTTATCCTTTTTTATGAATATATTGTCTGAATAGGCTTGGACAATAGTGTATTAATCTAAATTACTTTATATAACTCTTAAATCATTTAATTAGCTAATTCTCTATCATCTACATCAATAGTAATTGATAAATGAATATGTGATGCATATCTTTATGTTTCTCATTAAATATATTCTGTTCATCTTTATTGAATGTGAAATATATATGACCCAATTTGATTTGTGCATTTTGAGACTAAAGTTAAAACTTTTAAGGTGATATGTTTTTTTTTAAATTTCATATGTGTTCTTTTTCTTAATTTTTATTTGAACTCTACAAAAACAACTTCATTAATTCACATGCATGTTCTCTTACAACTCTTTTTTAATTATTATCATGATTAATTTATCTTGATTTATTAAATTTGTTTCTTTTGCTGGTGTGACAACCCTAATAACGTACAAAACTATCAATAATGTGTCATTTGTTATAAAGTAGATGTTTGATATTGAAAATAACTTTTTTTGGTAGTTCATTTGTTATTTATTTGAATTTCCAAAAAATATATTTTAATGATCAACCACCTAGTTAATAACCAATGACACGTTCTTGATAATCTTTTATGTGATTAGAGCTAAAAATCACTCAAAGAAATAATTTTAATAAATTAAGATAAATTGATTGTGACTATGATTTATTTTTTTCAAAATTATATGAGTGAGGGAACATTATGTGAATTAACAGAGTTTTTTTTTTTGTTTAAATTCACTTAAAATAAAGAGAAAGCACACATATGACAGTAATGATAAAAAAAAATATACATCACCTTGAAAGTTGAAACTTTAGTCTAAAAATGCCCAAATCAAAGTTTATTTTAACTAATCAGTTTCTCTTGAGGTACACATACATAGATTTGACTTGTAATAAATATAAAGGGAACATATAAAATGTGAAATAAAAAGATAGATATCACACCTAAGTTTATCAATAAATATTGTTCTAATTAATATTGTGTGTTTTCAAAGAAGATGCTTAAAGAGATATCGATTGAATATCCTTTATTTATAGTGAAAGCATTGATGGAAATCATGACATCTATTGCTCGAGCCTCAACTGCTAATCATGGTTCCCACTCTTCTTGTTCTTCAGCAACTTTTTGTGCCACATTGCTCTCTTTGGCTCGGCAATATCATTTTATGTGACCTATGTTTCCACCTCGATAACATCTAAGAAGCCTCTTGTCATAATAGTTAGAAGACTCTTCCTTTTTCAGGATCACCTAAGGATCGAGTGTGTGACATACCTCTTGATTTTCCTTTGAATTTGTTCTTGTTAGCTAGAAGAGCATCTCCTTCTACCTCTTTGACAAACACACTAGCCAACTGCTTTGCTAGTAATTCGAGTTACGACAACAAATTTTCAGATTCCTCCAATGATGGTTGTTGATCCCATCCTTTAATCGACGTCATAGACGGGATATATTCAGGCTTCAAACAAGGAATGAAAATTCTTTTAATTCTTGCTTCATAAATAGCCTCATCTGGATTCAACAAACATATATAAGATTATAAGTTCTTAATCTTCAATAAATACTCTAAGATAGAAAGATTACCTTGAGTTGTGTTAGCCAATTCATTCTCCAATATCTGCAACCGAGCTTCATTCTTCTTGTTGAATAATTGATCGAGGGTCTTCCATATATCTTGAGCCGATTTACACTTTATAATGTACTCAAATAAATCGGAGGAGATTGTCCTCTTCATAATGAACTGTCTTCGCATGAACCTTCTTCCATTACTTGTATGCACTACTATTTTCCAGTCCGTCAGCAAGAGGACTTGTGTCATTCCCATTAACAACATCTCACAAATCCTCTCCCACAAAGTATGATTCCATACATGTCTTCCATACCTTGTAATTAGACTAATTAAACAACTCCATCCTTAGTCCATTAACACGATCGCTAAAATTCATATAGACAAAAAAGTTGAATCTACCTCCAATCCGATCTTGAAATAACAACCACAAGTCAATCCATGGTTATGGCTCTAATACCATGTAGATAATAGCAAAATAAAAATGTTATTCGGGAAGCCTTCTGCTACCCCAAGATCATTAACTAAGATAGAAAGATTCTACTAAGGAAGTGGAAGCTAGTAAGGAGAATAAATATTTGGAATAGAAGAACTTTGATATAGAAGAAGACTACTTGATTTTGATTGATTACAAATGACTATGGCCACCCCTATTTATACTAGTATAGGGATGCTTCTAGAAATTATTCTAGAAAGATCTACAAGAAAAATCTAAATAAACTTATCTTCTAACTACCTAACAAGAATCTAGATATTTCTACAATTATAAATATCTACTTCTCTAGAACATCAACGCAATTCCTAATTATATGAAGTACTTAAGGTATTACTCTTTATAACTCTAGAAAGTTCTATTAAATATCTAAGATTATTTATACATAAAAAAAATCATCTTTATTTTTCACAGAAAGTTATCCAGACTTGTTCATAAGTGATGATTATGAATTACATAAATGGATGTTTGAGGTTTCAAAACTCTAATATAATAGAGGAGTGTTCAATATTAGATGTTTTGAATAGGTTTCAATTTGGTAACAGGAAAAATGTAAGAAGAATAGTAAATAATATCTTCTATATCATTAAGTCACTAGATTAAGAGAAATCTGTCTCTTCCTTTCATCCGTAGTGGTGAACTAATATTCTGGACCAGATAGTCAAACAATGTATCAAATATAGTTATCACACAATATAAGAGAATTCATTTTATCTCCATTAGGATAAAATAGTAAAGACGTTGTTGTTTATTGGGTGAGTTTCTTTTCCTAATTACTCAAGAGATTTATTTCGTCCACAAAGAATTATGCTCTAGTTACAACAAGTTTTTTTTTTTTCTAAAAATTCTCCTTTCATGTCCCAAAGAAGACACCATAGATTGTGTCTAATCATATAAGATTAAATAAAAAAAACTTAAATATATTATGTATATAGATGAACCGTGTTCAAATTAACAACAAGGGAAGCAAAATGAATTCCCTGTTTAAAACGGATACTGTACCATAGTACAATGGTATGGTATTATGAAAGAGAAGCATGTTAGCTATAATACGGCCAAAACATTATTTTGTTGATTTTGAATTTGTGTTTTGTACCCGATGATATTCTTGCCCCTCATTCTTCATTTGTTCATATGGAAATCTTAATTAAGTGCAACTAAATAAGATAAATGACCACTTTGATAGCATTTACATCCTTGTTCATTGTTAAAACTGGAGGGAAACATGAGTTTCACTTAATATGGATCAAAAAATTGTTAGCTTGTACATTTCTTATGTTTTCTATACGAACATGTAGAAAGAGATTTGTGAAATATGCGGTTACATAGTTTTCGTAGAAGCAACCATTACATGCTATCAGTGTTAAAATGTTGACGTGCATTAGTAAGTTTTTTTTTTTTTCATTTTAGATTAAAGGGTTGGACACTTAGTTAGAAAAGCTGAAATCCATGACTCTCTAATCCGTACTTTCTTTATCACCTTGTCGATATCAATATGTTTTTTGTAAACCTCAAACATATATATTTTTTATGCACTCATAGTCCTCTTCTTGTTTTTAAAAAATTCTTCTTTTCTCCTAATTTCATGCATTTTGTGCTGGGTTATGCAGATGCACAAAAGGATTGTTATTGTAAAAAATTTTATATAGGGGAGAGGGCAGTTTCTTCATCATGTTGATTGGAAAATGAGTACTCAGGGTGCAAGTTACATGCCTCTACAAATATTTTTCACAATACTCTACCACAAAAGAAATGTATGAAATTTCAAAGTGGGCATTGTATGGGCATTATATTAACTAGTATAAGGAGGTACAATTCGGGGGAAAAAAGAGGCCTACATGTTTACGAAACACTTGTTCTATCATCAGGCGGCAAAAAATATGGATGTCCAATTAAAAAGACTGTCTCTTCTAGAGCTTTGTCAACCAAATTCATGTGGTCTGTGACTCAAGGAAATCTAAGCAAGCCTGGAACTCAAATTTGAAATCATTTTCCCGAGAAGAGTTCCCATGATGAGCAGATGGGCCCACTTGGTTTATCCTGTCGATCCTAAGACAATTACACTTTCTTTTCTTAGGTAGATATCTCTTTTTCCCACTTTGTACCTCCTTTTCCAACGTAATACAATGCCCACCTAAAAACTAACCATGTTTCTTTAGTTGCACAATACACTCACTAATCTTTGTAGAGGCATATAACTTGGACCTTTAGAATGTTCATTTGCTTCTCAACGTGATGATGAAATTACCCTCTTGCCATTTCACATTTTTCAGTACACCAATCCATATGTGTTTCTTCACAACAGCCCAACACAAAATATCTAAAAATGAATTTCAGAACAGATTTTTTGAAACGTGAAGGGAGGACTATGTATGCTTAGAAGATACATTTAGTAGTATGCTTGCCTTCAATAGTTAACCCTTGTATTGGATAGGTTATACAAATAGCATGTCAAGTTATGTTCCTTCGTCTCTGTCTCTTGCTTATTCTATTCATTTCCCTCGTCTCTATTTACATTAATGTGTAATATCTGTTCTATAGCTTCTTATACTATACTTTCTTTCCTTCTCTATAGTATATGCGTGATTTAGCTTTTGAGCTCCGCCGACCTATGTCTAATGATTACTTCTTATTTCTATTCATACTACACTTCTACCCCTTGCATATCATAGTATGACTTCATCCCATTAAGATATGCCTCGTATGGAGCAACTTTTGGATTGGGAATTTTCGGTGAACCGCTGAAATTTTTGTATGCTAATCTTCCTCTATTTTAACTAGTACTAGTTTTTATTTTGCTTTCAAATAGGGTTTGTTCAATATTTTTATTTTTCCTTGTACTCCTATTTTGATTAGATGCTCAAATATCGAATAAAACCATAACTTTTGTCATATATTTTCATCATTATTTTTTCTATCCTCTATTCTATTCTTGTAGACCCTCATGGTAAAATGTATTTTCTTGTATGCTTTTACTTCTTTGCCCCGACCCATAGCTTCCTTGAATCTTTTATGTCTTACTTGATTGAGTGGATGCTTCTTGTGGTGGTTGAGATTGTTTTGAGATAGTTTTTCCCATTGAAATGCTTTTTAAGTGAAAGAGTTGACTTAAGTCTACATCCCCAAAATCTGATGTCGTACAAATTATTCATAGCTCAGATAGGTCCATATTGGTCTAGTAGAATTGTTGGTTCTGATTGTGAGTTCCTTAACTTGAGTTTGTTCGGTTAGGCATTTTATCTTTGATGTTTCGGCCAATGTTTGACTTCGGTCAATGTTCTCGCTAAACGTAATCGGATGAGAATTCTAAGTTTGTATGTCCAATTTTGAGCTATCCATTATATACAAAATTTCAGTCATAATGTCTTAATCACTTAATTCATTGGGAGTATCATAATACTGATTTGGACGAGTAGCCTAATACTGATTTGAACTAGGGTTCAGCGTACCCAAAGGGTCCCAGAATTACTAGACACGTAGGTTGTAAGTTCCCTTTGTGGACATCAATTTAGTGATCATGCAAACATGCCTTTATACCTATGGAAGGGTATATTGGGTTCTCTTAATGGGGCGTATAAATCGGACTCCACATTTAGATCATATTTTTTTTATTATCGTTATTAGAAGCTTCCACAGTTTTGTTAAGCTCTATTGCATTGACCATTTAACAATATATTCAGTATCGAGAATCAACATGTTATAAATTGTCCATTGCATCAAATTAGCTAAAAATTCAGTATATATCATGTTTAGATTATTATACTTGCTTTTGTGTTTGTTCAATTTTGTTTCATTTCAACTTTACTCTATCCTACATGATCAGTACCTTCAAGTACAGACTCATACGTTCACTATATCTTCTCATGATGTAGGTTCAGGTTCTTTACATCCTTATCGCGCTTAGATTGATTTCCGATCTCCATTTTTGCAGATTCAGCGGTGAGTCTCATTCTAAAAGGACAAATAGTTATTAGGTTCTCTTCAGTATTTAGTACTTTTATTTTAGTTTTGCTAGACTTAGTTGGGGCCTGTCCCAGCATTTCAAGTCAGTTTAGAGGATATTTTCAAATATAGTTAGTTTAAGCTTAGCATTGAGATATTATCTTCTTTGTATTAAACTCGTCAGTATTTCAAATTTTTAGCAATAGTATATGGGTATTTTTCATATTTGTATTTAAAGTATGATTTAGCTTCCACAACAGTTTATATTCTTTAGTATGCCCATGATCATGCCAATAGGGTTTGGGATCACTTGTTGTCCTAAGTCCCGTGTCCGCGTCTTGGGGGTATCTCGGGGTGTGACAAACTTTGTATCAGAGCAATTGGTTTAAGTTTCCTAGGATTTATGAAAAATCGCACTAAGTAGAGTCTTTTTCATGGGTGTGAAGTGAACCACATCTAATGAGAGGGAGGCTATGAAATGTCATAGGAAAATTTGACTTTGTTGTTAGTCTTATCGTGCGCAAGGTATGATCGAATTCCATTCTAACATGACGCTATATATTTCAAATCATGCCTCCTCGTAGAGCTAGCACTATGAATGCAAATACAAGGAATGCAAACGCAGCTGCTCTAATCCTATATCACAATGTCCCCAATGATGAATTCAGGAATGCCATTCAGATGTTGGCTCACAGTGTCGCCAACCAATACAATCAGCGGGTTCAAGCTCATGTAAATGAAAATGGTGGATGAATGAATCCTCTTGAGTTCATAGTATTACAAACTAATGAGGATCGCTAGAATTTCTTAGATGTGATCAAGAAGATCTCTGAGGTTATGTAGGTTATTAGGAATGATCTGCTTGAGTTGGCATCATTCCTCCTGAAGAATGTGGCTCATACCTGGTTCACTTAGTGGAAGGACATTAGGGGTACAAATGCAGCTCCTATTACTTGGAATTGCTTTAGTGAGACCTTTCTTGACAGGTTTTTTCCAATAGAGTTGAGAACAGCGAAATCACAGGAATTCATGAACTTAAGGCAGAGTAACATGATAGTCCAAGAGTATGGGATTAAGTTTAACTAACTCTCCGGTTATGCTCCTCATATGGTTGCTAACTTAAGGGTTCATATAAATAAGTTTTTGCATGGAGTGTCAGATTTTGTGAA